CAGGAGGGGGGACGGTACCTGGGGACAGTGTTGGGGGGAATGGGTGTGGGGGGGCGGACAGGTGTCCATAAAGCTTCCCGGGTGACTGATGACAGGCCAGCCCACTGGTGGGCACCTTGTGGGGGGTCCTGATAGCGGGAGGGAAGGAAGGGGATAGTTCCTGGTTGAGAGACGCCCCTGGGAGCCGGGGCTCAGGGCAGGGTGGGGAGGGGAGAGAGCAGTCTAAAGGCACGTGTAGAACTTGATTAATTTTCACCAACTGGACGCGTGTGTCACCTTCCCCAGACTGAGTGTGTCAGCCTCTCAGGCCCTCAGGACGTGGGCCCGTGGGCTCTGCAGTCAACCGCCTCCCAACCCCCTCCTCACCCCTCCCCCCTCCCCTGCTCCTATCTCCGCTGCTGCTCCCGTGCGTTTCAGTGCTACACAGATGGGATCGTGGGATGTCTGCTCCCAAGTATCTAATGTTCCCTCATCAGCTGCGTTGTCTACGGAATAAGTTGTGATTTCTCCATTGGAGGTTTCAGGGACAAAAATAGTACAGGGAGAGGACCTGGGGCACTGGGGGCTGGACGTGGAGGTTTTATTTTATTTTAAATACCTGCTAGTTTTAAAGTAGTTTAGACGCAAGAAATTGCAAAATGGGTGCAGAGCCTGTGTCCCCTGCGCCCAGCTTCTCCCAGTGACACTGGGTCATGTGCTGACACGGTACCTGCAGGGCCAGGACACAGGGTCGGAGGACCCCAGCCGGTGGGCTGCGCCATCAGTGAGACAGGGCTGCGCGGTGCGGCTCACAGGGAAACGGAGGGTCCCCGGAAGTTCCACAGACTGGTTAGCGGTCAGGAGCAGGAGTGGGGAGTGAGCAGCTCGGGTGTGAGTGAGTAGCTGGAAAGTGAATGTGCGTTCATCTGACAAACTCATTAAATGCAGGAGCAGGCGTCCTGCGGGGTGCCTGGGCTCAGTCCTCCCTGCGGCCCCGCAGGGTGTGTGACTCAGCCGCGGGCTGTGGCGTGCAGCCCAGGGGACTGAGTGCCCAGCGCGGGGATTCGCAGACAGAAGCCTGCGCTGACCTCTCTCCCTCAGTACGGGCGGCGGGCGTGTCTCATGCAGCAAGGGGCTTGGATGTGTCTGCCCGCTGCCTCCTGGGGACCCTGCCTGCCCTGGGGGGACCAGCGCCGGCCGAGCTGCTGCCGCCATCTCTAGGCCGCCTCGGTTGAGACATCTCTGACCTCCCCTCTCTGATGCCCCAGGCCCGTTTGGGTGTGGACTAATGGCTTCTCTCGTCCCAGGAGGCGCTCGGCCATCCAGGGCACAGTCACAGCCTGTGCAGACGCCGATGTGGAGGCGGAGCAGGTGCGGGTGCTGAAGGGAAGAACCGACGGGGACTTGCTGGTGCTCTGCAACCTCAGCAAGAGCTACGGACGCTCCCGGCGGCCGGCCGTGCAGGACGTGACCCTGGGCCTGCGGAGTGGGGAGGTGAGGGGATGTGTGTGTCCGTGTGACCCTGGGCCTGCGGAGGAAGCTGGGGGGCAGTGTGGGATTCTTGAAGGGCTGGCGCAGTGTGGGGTACAGTGTGGATAGCAGTCAGGTGCGCTGTGTGAGGGACGCCGTGGGACAGGATGGGCTGGGGGTGACAGGCCCAGCTGGGTGGGGGAGCGTGGCTATTGAAGCAGGTGGGACTCAGGGAGCCCCGGCCGCCCAGAGGGACGCAGTCGGTCCTGGGACGACGCGTGGGACGGCGGCAGAGAGCCCACAGGTCAGTGTCCAAGATTCAGGGAAGCAGGAGGCCACTGGAGCCGCAGACAAAAGGTCGCCGTCAGGAATGTGCGCCTCAGAGGGAGGTGGGAGGAACCAGACCCGCAGAGCCGTCGCGTCGCCTCCACTAGGAGCGCGCTCAGGGCTGGCGCCCAGGTGCCAGGGGAGGACCAGGTGCAGGAATGAAATAGAGGACATTCACATGCAGGGGGCCTTGCAGAGGCAGCAGATGGTGGGGTGCTTGCTGACCCCCCCGTCACTCAGCTGGGCAGGAAATGGGGTGTGTTGGGGGGACTGGCCCTTCGGCCTTCACTGGCTGATGGACATACGGCACGGCTGAGCCCAGAGCTGGCTTGGTGCTGGGAGTCGAGGCGCCACCTTGGGAGGGAGGTGGGCGGGAGGCGGAGCACCTTGTAGAAAGTGCTGGCATGTGAGGAGCCGGGGGACAGTGATGGTCATGCTGTGCCTACGGCATCCTAGTCCCTGGAGGGAGACGCCTGGAGCTGCTGGGCGGCCGCAGGACGCGGCATCATGTGGCCCCTCTGAGCTCCACGTGGGTCCCTGTGGTCAGGTTCCTGGTCCACCTGGGCCTGTCACAGCACAGGAAGCCTCGGAGCCGCGGAGAGCAAGTGCCCTCTGACCGCGCCGTGTCCTCTGCTCGCCCCTCTCAGTGCTTCGGGCTCCTGGGCCGGAACGGGGCCGGGAAGAGCACCACGTTCAAGATGCTGAGCGGGGACGAGGCCCCGAGCGCAGGGCACGCCGTGGTCAGGACGCCCACGGGGTAAGAGCCCTTCGCCACCTTCCTGCCCGGTTGGGGGGAGTGTGCGGGGGGGTAACCCTGGAGCCGAGGGCCCGACACCTGGGTCCTGGGCAGGAGGTCTCTTCCCCGAGTGCCCTCACTCCCTCCTGGGGCGGGGAGAACAGGGGACCTCGATGAGGCGCCGGTGGTGGGGTGCTGGCTCGCGGTCCCCGTCACTCAGCTGGGCAGGAAATGGGGTGGGTGGGGGGATTGGCCCTTCCGCCTTCACTGGCCAGTTCAGCTTCACATCCCCCGGGACTGATGGGGCTGCCAGCCTCGTATATGTTTTCACCTCCTGAGATAAAGCTGCCTCTAGGACAGCGGTTCTCAACCTGTGGGTCGTGACCCCTTTGGCGGTGGAACGACCCTTTCACAGGGGTCGCCTAAGACCATCCTGCATATCAGATCTTTACATGACGATTCATAACAGTAGCAACATGACAGTGATGAAGTAGCAACGACAATAATGTTATGGTTGGGTCACAATGTGAGGAACTGTATTTAAAGGGCCAGAAGGTTGAGAACCACTGCTCTAGAACGTCTTTTCGTCAGTCCCCATGTTCTACCCAGAAGGCAGTGTGCTTCTCAGTAATGAGGGGACCACTTTCTCCATTTCCCTGGGCCGTCCGTGCCTCTGACCCCATTGCGCTTTGTTCTCCCTGAAGCTGCCAAAGCATGTTGACGGTAGCGCGTCTGACTGCTTCCATGGCAGTACTTCTGTTTTACTAAGTGTGGTGGTTTGAAAATTATATACATAATATTTCTTACCTCAAGGAAATATTATTTTGCAATTTTATTAAAAATTCTTTAAGGAAAAATTTTAATTTATCAATTTAGCATTCATATTTTATAATTCTTTTTCTTTCCACATAGTTATCCTATATAATAAAACCCTAATATGCAAATTGACCGAAGGGTGTGACAGCTGGTGAATGACCAGTCGCTATGATGCACATTGACCACCAGGGGGCAGATAACATAAGAGAGAGGCAACCAGTGGTGGTGGCAGGGGGTGGGGCTGGTGAGCAGGCAGCACCAGGCCGCCAGCCGAGGTGGGTGCCAACAGGGGCCCCCAATTGCCCTGCCCACCATTGCCCCACAGATCAGCTCTGATCGCCGGCCAGGCCTAGGAACCCTACCCTATCTATTGGGAACAGTGTCCTAGATTTAAAAATTAAAACCTGGCAAGGCTGCTCTAACACTGAAAAAACAGGATGATGCAGCGATGACATGCATGGATCAGGCTTGCACATTTTGTGGCCAGCCCTGATTCTGACACTTAAAACTGTGACAAAGCCAATTACTTAACTTCTCTCTGCTTCAGTTTTTCCACCCACAAGATGGGGGAAATGGTACCACTGCCCCAGAAGGATCATGTTATCAACTACTTTTTATAATCAGGGCAGAAAAATGTAGCTGCCCATAAAACAGCAAGATGCCTTTCACCTGTGTGAAAAGCATCCCAGATTGCGAGGGGGCTGTCCAACTGCTGGTTTAGGCTGGGATTGGGACTAAATTGGCAGTCGGACATCCCCTGAGGGCACAGGCCGCCTGAGGGACCCCCCTCCTTGTGCACAAATTTTGTGCACCAGGCCTCTAGTATCATAAATAAAACATTTCTGATTATTGATCTGTCTTTCCCTTTCTGCACTAAACATTATTTTCTCATGGATTTAAATCTTTCTTATTTGCTGAATTTTATGTAATATTTTAAATTTATGAGTCATAAGAAAAACTAGTTTGTTGTTGAAATCTTTCACTTCCAATCCTTACTATTAAATTATTCTTATTTTCATTGCATTTTGACAATTTGTATTTTCTTACAAAAACAATTTAAAATTGCTTACTACTTTTCAGAGTCATAATTATCGTAGGATTTGTATTTTCATTCTATCCCTATACCAATATGCTTGAGATTTCCTATAAAACTATCTGTGTACTTTCTCAACTGTGACTGTTTTACTTTAAAAAGAATGAATGATTGAATTTCTTCAGCAATTCAAGTCTTTTCGTTTCCAAATTTATGAATTTTGTCATTCTTATTAAGCCCTCCACCATGCTTTTCTCAGTCTTGTTTTGTTTTTGACCTCTTGATTTGACTTTTAAAATTTTTAAAAAATAAATGATCAAATCATTAGGTTTATAAATATGCTTCTTGGTAAGCTTAACCTGGATCCTAAAAACCTGATAAGTGACATTATTGGTGTCATATTCTCTAAATGACACATGTAAGTTTGATTTAGTCTTTCAAAAATTTACATGTAGGAGTATTTCTAGATGCTCAATTTTGTGTTCCTGGGCTTAATATTTTTCTTTTTCTTTTACATTTATATTAATTTCAGATATATGCAGGGATGCACAGTATGGCATAAGGAATATAGTCAATGATATGGCTTAAGATTTTTGAAATTCCTTAAAAAGTATTTATTGGAGTGTAAGTTACATATAGAAAAGAACATCTTGATGCATTTTCACAAAGTAATATTCTTTTATAATCTGTACTAGCTCAAGAAACAGCACAAAACCATCCCATTAAATCCCTTTCTGGTCAGTTCTCCCCTCTGGGTAGCGCCTCTCCTGGTTTAAAAAAAAAAAGCCATTTTATGTATTACTAGAGGCCTGGTGCACAAAATTCATGCATGGGGGGGTGGGTCCCCTCAGCTCAGCCTGCACCCTCTCCAATCTGGGACCCCTCGGGGGACATCCCTCTCACAATCCTGGACCACTGGCTCCTAATCGCTCACCTGCCGGCCTGCTTGGTCACCCCTAACTGCACTCCCCCTGCTGACCTGATTGCCCCTCACTGCCTCTGCGTGCTGGCCTGTTCACCCCTAACTGCCCCCCCTGCCAGCCTGGTCATCCCTAACTGCCCCCGGCTGCCGGCCAGGTTGCCCCCAACTGCCCCCTCTGCCAGCCTGGTTGCCCCTAACTCCCCCCCCCCCATTGGCCTGGTTGCCCCCAACTGCCCCCACCCGCCGGCCTGGTCACCCCTCACGGCCCCCTGGGCAGACTGGTCGCCCCCATGCAGCCAGGGGTGTTTGGTCATCCCTCACTAACACCCCTGCTGGCCTGGTCATAGGCAGCCATCTTGTGAGGGTGTGAGGGTTAATTTGCATATTACCTCTTTATTATATAGGACTAGCCCATTCCCACCCAGTAGATTCTGTGGGGCTTCATTACCAGGAGTGTCCGAAGACACCACAGTTTAATCTCGCTCCTTTGCTCCTTTGGTGTGGCTTTGAGTCTCTGGATCTCAGACTCCCTCTCTCCATCGCCTTCTTTCTTTACAATCTACTTGCTGGTCCCGGCCCTGGGCCTGGAGAGCGCGCTGTCCAGGTGGCTGTCCGAGGGAGAGGTGAGGACCCCTTGGGCTCAGAACCCACAGGAGCTGCCCTGCCCCTCCCACCCGGAGGCACTCGCCTGTCTTCACGCCTTTGGTGCTGCAGCTGGGAAGCCTGCTGCCTGGTTATGCCGTCCGTCACTCACTCACTGGGGGCTGCAGCATGGCGATGCTCCAGCTCATTTTGTCTTCACTTCTGAGCCTGAATAATTTTGCAATGAGTTGCTCTCACTATATTTTATTTGATTACTCAGAGCTATAGTTCATATGAAAAAGGACAGGTGGATGCTCGTTATTCCCCTTCTTATCCAGTTTTAAGATAACCGATTTCCGGTCACTCTTCATGTGAGCAATTAGTGGGTGTGTGTTTTGGTGACATTGTTCTGGGCTCATTCTGACAGATGTGGGAGAGGTCACGGAGTTTGCCGTACTTCCTGTCCCTTTGCTCCTTCTGGTCCCCTTCCCCCCCCC